AGTAGTTACTAAGTGTCCCATTTCAACCCACATATCCAAAAGAATAACTCCTGCATGCGTAGCATGCCTATGTCTTTAAAAGATGACAACCAGAGGCGAAATTTCTTTTCAGGATATTGCTTATACAGTAACATTCTTTCCAAGCCTTGCACGTTTCATTTGTCTGAGAAGTTTGTTGTTGAGAACAGATATAAACATCGCCAAATTATGCAATATCTCATTTTTGAGCTTCGTTCGCGAATGGCCCTATGAAAGGTAGAGGCCGGACCGCAGAGATTTGACATTTTTAATAACTACAATATTTTGACCAACTAGGTGGGTAGTTTATAATAATAATAATAATAATAATAATAATAATAATAATTCAAACATATTTCTACAGGATTGCTGCTTCAGTTTAGGAAAGAAAACTGCTTTCAATGCTGGTCTTGTTAAAAAATAAATAGAAATCAATTTAGAGTAAATTATAAAATAGTTACAATAAACGAAAGTAAATTCGGACAATAATAAATTCTACGAATTATTAAAAATTATTTAAAATCATTAAAAATTTTTGTACCTTTATAAAAAAAAGCGCGCTTGGTGCAGTCTAATTTAACTTTTTCTATAATAAGATCATCATTATTTCTAGTATTGTAGCGGTGAATGTCGCGAATTCTTACATTAAAATAATTAAAAGGATATCTGGGAACGCTATTTGCAAGGCACTCATTAACAAATCTAAAAATATGTGTTCGTCTTTTATAATAGAGGGGTTCCCAGCCCAGTTTAGTCATAGCTTGTTCAGTTGTTAGTTTTGAGGCATCTTTGGAGTAGGCGATCCTCGCTGCTCGTCGCTGTAGTTGTTCAATCTTGTAACTGTTTCCTTGCCCACATTCACGCCACACAGTATCACAATAATCTACAACCGGGAGGACCATGGCTTTATAAAGTCTATTTGCAGCTTCTAGCGTTGGTGAAGGTCTTATTCGAGAGAACATACCGAGTATCTTAGATACCTTGATCCTCACATAATCCACGTGGTCATTAAAGGAAAGGGTGCCATCAAGAACGTCACCCAAGTACTTAAAAGTGTCCGTAGGCCTAATTGACTTTCCATTGAGGCTTATATCAGTTTCATCACGCTTTACTCTCGCGAGCCTTTGGCGGGTGCCGAACGTCATAAATTCTGTCTTTTTCATGTTGAGAACAAGTTTATTATAGTGTAGCCACTGAGACAGATTAGCTAGATCAAGGTTTAAATTAAGGTCAATGTCCACGGTGGATGTGGGCGACAGATAGATCACTGTATCGTCCTACATCATGATGTTGGAGAATTGGACACAGGACGGTAGATCGTTTATATACAGAGTAAACAGTACAGCACCGAGGATGCTACCTTGCGGTAGGCCACTGAGGACAGGCATTGGACTGGATAGTTCATCTTCGACACAAACAGCCTGGGTTCTGTTAGCAAGGTAGCTCGTCAACCATGCGAGAGAGTTACCCTCCAAAACAAATCTTTTAAGCTTGCGAATGAGATCATCATGGGGGACGGTATCAAAGGCCATTTTTAGATCAATAAATAAGGCCCCAGTTAGTTTTTCTGCCTTTGTGCATCTTCTAATTGTGTCACAAAAATATGTTACCGCGGTCTGCGCCGAATGATAACGTCTAAACGCTGATTGAAATGAATTGAAGAGGCCATTTTGATTTAGATACTGTTGAAGTTGAACATTTACGGCTTTTTCAGCAATCTTCCAAATTACTGGTAAGATCGAAATGGGCCGGTAATTGTCCATAACTTCCAGAACTCCTGATTTGTACAGAGGAACAACTCTCGCCTGCTTCCACTCATCTGGTACAGTGCCTGTGGTCAAAGAGAGATTTACAAGAAAAGTGATTGACTGGGTGATAACAGCAGCACTGTCTTTCAGCAAACACGCAGGGATTGTTTAAATCCAAAACTCTCCGTAACTGGTAGAAGACACAATTTCTGATCCGTAAAATTATCACCGCAAAACTCGCGAGTACCTATGGGCTGTTGAACGGTTTCCAAAAGCTTAGAAATGGCGTTTGTAAAGAAGTCATTAAACTTCTCGGAAATATTTGATTTATCAGTAATTTTATATCCCTCCTCAGTCTTGATAGATTCTGGACAGGCTGAGTTGCCTTTCTTGCTTGGAAAAACTTTCTTAATTACTCTCCAGAAGGCTTTAGGGCTATCAAGATTTTCCTGAATTTCATCCCCATGATAGCGACGTTTTTCATTCCTGATTTTATTTGACACTTTATTTCTTAGTCGTCGATAGGTATTCCAACCCACCTCAGCTCCAGACCTTCTTGCTTTTCGTAAGAAAAAGTCCCGTTGATTCATAAGCTTTTTATTGCACCAGAAAGCCAAGGACACTTCATACCTCTCACTATCTTTCGCCGAGAGGGATTGTACTTTGCAAAATTCCTGCACTCAGTTATTCTTGGTGGCAGTTTGCGTGCATTAATTTTTCTCACTGCGATCAACATATCGTGATCACTGAGGCTAGATGCAACAACATTAGTGCATATAATATTTTCAGGATAGTTGGAAGCAAACAAATCCAGCAAAGTAGAACTTTCTTTGGCAGTTCTTGTGGCTTTGTCAATCAGCTGCGATAAACCGAAATTCCTGAAAATTTCCTTTAGTTCCCTTGTTTCCTTCGAACATGATTTCACCAAGAAATCACAACTAAAATCACCCGTCACGATAAGTTCCTTGTTTTCTGCACTAGCTGACTCGAGAACATCCCTAAACAGATTCATAAAGTCTGTCTGAGAGGGGGGTCGATAAAAGGTTCCAAACAATATACCTTTAGTTTTGGGTAGAAGAATCTCGAGCAAAATGCATTCTCCTGGAGACTGTTGTTCCAGGTCAACCCTCCGAATTATAGAGATAGATTCTTTAACGTACACTGCAATCCCACCACCTTTACCATTAGGTCGATCGCTTCTAAAAATTTATATTCAAGGAGAGGTATTTCACCATCAGCAATTCAGTTATTAAGCCACGTCTCGGTAAAGGCCAGAATATGTAAATTTGGACACTGTGATACAAGAATATTTAATTCGTCGAGTTTTCCTCAAATACTGCGTATACTCTCATGAATAAACTTCAAACCTCGCAGTTTAATAGCCTCAAAAAGTTCAGTAGCGATATTAAATTCGGTGCATTCAACTCCACTTTCACTTCCAGAGTCCATATCTTTGACAGAACACAAAGAACAGCTCTTGCTCGTTTCAAAATCTACACCGAAACACGTGAGATGGTAAGACTGAAGGCAGTCCGAGCAATCTGCTCTTCCTTGCGTAGTGATGAGGCTGAGCAAGCCTTTCCCAGAAGACATGTCAATGACTTGACGAATTAACTTGTGAGTTGGCCCTCATTATAAGCGCTTCGGCGCAAGCGTCTCTTCGTCCTCGGGAAAGTACGGGGACCTGGGCAACGTAAGCCGGTGACAAGTTTGCTGGGGTCTCGTACTCATGATTAGTACCAGACCCTCGGCAAACCTCTTCCTGCAGCGCTAATCATGGGGGCATGGCACCCAGGCTATTGACCAGTGAAATGCCTGAATTGTAGTGTTACTTATTGTGTTTATCTTCTCGTTTTGTGGGTCGTTTTATTATTTTTATACACATATGATAAATATTTGAAAGATATTCTCTAATTATGATGGTGTAAATAGTTTGTATTTAATGAATAATATTTTGAAGATAGGCGTTTAAATAACGTAAATAAACTTAAGCACTCGCCAACCGCAAATAAAGTCGAGTTTTATTGTTACTCTGGCTGTGATATGATCAAATGGTTTTTTTTTTTTTTCATGCCTTAGCTTCATTTACGTGTTGATATAATTATCATTACTTGGGAAAGTTGTTGAGAGTAATATATTTGTTACGATGTTACATGCTGAAGATTTTTTCTCTCTTCTGTCGAGTGTCACACACTTCTCTCGTCAGTGGGTGTGTTTTATCGCTTCTGGCTCCCTGTAGCTCTGATTTGAAGTTAAGGTTTCATTTGCAAGTCATGATCTTTCAAAAATTCCATCTTTAATTTAACAAATAAAGAAGTATTGACTGTGCCCTCTTCTGTTGTAAAGCACGCAGGAAGCGACTTGAGCGCGAAAGAACTGTAGATTTCCTGCGAGCGAAGAAAATTATAAAGGAGGAGCTGCTCAAAAGGTAGGATAGATGCGTGCTTAGATTTCTCTTAGCAAAGCCAATCCACGCTAAGTCAGTCTATTTACGAGATAGCAACTTTTTTTTCTTAACCAATTCAGCGTCGAAAGTAAGACAGGGTGGACCGTCTATTCTTTACTGTGATTTGCACTACCTATTGTGAAGAAAACGTGCCAAACCTTCTCTTACAAGGAAACAAATTAAATCTAAACTTTTTGAGCGTGGTCGGCACCTGAATCTCGGAAACTGTAAAGATTACAGAACCTATGGAATAGCTTGTCCCCTGAATTGCGGCAAGCAAAATCACTTCAATCCTTCCGAAATGGTTGTCGCAATTTCTTCCTCTGAATCGACAAAACACACACGGCATCTATGTAAAGCAGAATTTCTTTATTTTTTTCTATTTTACTTTTAAATTTTAGATCATGTTTATATAGATTAAAATAGATTGTAACTGTAATAATAGATTGTAATAATATTATTATTTTATCTGATAGATTTACCGTGTCTAAATAAAAATAAAGTTCAAGTTCAAGTTCAAGTTACTGTAATTTCTATTCTGTTAATCCTACTTTTACTTTTAATTGCATATTGCGTAATTTGTGAATAACTTAATTTGATTTATTTTTATTATAATTGATGTATTTCAACAGGGAAGAGTCACCTACTGGATCTGTTAATAAACTATTACTATTATTATTATTATCATTATTAATATTACATTTTACGTTAGGCCTTATACGTATATGCACGTATTCGAGATATCGCGATTTGCTTCCTATTACTAATCAAATAAAATGAGGGTTTTGCTTTAGCATCAGGGCGTCATCAAGCCTCTCAATCGTTTTCCTCTGTGATATTTGTATATGTCCTCTGAAATAAATCATTGGAATTAAGAGTCAGCCATTGATAATTCCGCCACGAAAAAATTAATAACGAAACAATCAATGGCTTTACTTGAATTAAACAAAAGTAATGAATGAAGTTAGGAACAAGCACAAGAAAGAAAAGACACTCCTACGGATGTCGACCAGTTGACAGACGGACGGACAGACAAGCAAGTGGATGGATGACTATGTTTAAGAAAAGATAAGCGTATTCATGGCGGGAGTTGGAAATAAAATGTTTAGCAGAAGGACTGAAAGGGTGACAGAGGAGTCCATGAAAGGGTGTATTGAGTCATCGAGTAAAAAAATATTGAAGGAGGAAGAAGAGGACAGATAAGGTTTAAGAAAGGCGATACTGAGGAGAAGAAATGGAAATCTTGTAAATACAAACATTAATTACCTTCACTTCTCGTAAAAAGTTCTTCAGCTGTTGGGCGATCTTTGAAAAGGCTGGTCTCATCATAGGATTTTCTTTCCAACAAGAATTCATCAGCTCATATCTAAAAATTCAATGCAGTACGAGTTAACGTTTTCTTGAAGCTGACACTGTCAGCATCTAGATTTACCGTATCAAACGTGGAAAGGGGTACAAAGGGGGATGACCACGATTATTGGAAAGATCACTGATTTGCCGAGTGTGACATTTGATTTGATATGCAAATCGTTTTTAAAATCATAACGACTCTTTCCATGCATCGTTTCGATTTCCAACGAGAAGAAGTGAATGTCAGAGGATCTTACAAGACCTGCCTCGAAGAGTAAAACGCTTTTCAATTATTTCTAAAGTAAGGCAAGTTAAATTTTCATTATTTGAAGCCCTCTACAAGATTATAAATAGTTCAATTCCTTTTCTATCGCCACCATACAAGACTTTGAAGCTTACAGTTCTTCCGAGCACTGATCGGGACGAGGCATCCGGTATCCTGTAGCCAGTCGACTCACTAAGGCAATTGGTGATGAGAT